CAGCCCGAAATTATCAACTTTTTTCAGCACACGCTTAGTACAAAAACCTTTCAGGAAAGTTGCAGTACACAAAGTGCACTTTCGCAGCTCCAGCTCGAAAAGTGCAACTGTTCAATGGCTGTCATCAGAAAACTTTCAGGGGCCATTCTGTGAAACACGTTATCGTATTGTTCTGATCTGCCAGCAACAAGGCCGCTTCCTGTAATTGTTTTCTTTCATAACTCGTTTGCAGTGAGTCGAGCAGTTGTAAACGCACGGGTCCGCCGAATGCTAAAATGCTGGGAACGGATTCTAGTACAAGCTCACATGATTTGAATTGGATACAAGCATCTCCATGTTTAGAACCAATTACGCATGGCTCTTTGCTAAGGCTACGCAAGAAAGGTACATTCCTTTACATGTGCCTGTGCAAGGGCAAAATGGAGCAAGACCAGTTCTCTTTAACCCCAACTGCTCTCCGCAAGTGCTGGAGAATCATTAGACAAAGCTTTTCAGCCTTGCATTATGGAAGATCGTGGGCCTGGTTTGATTTTTGGCATTCCGGTTTATTCTGGTTGACCGATTCCACCAGGTTGGTGCTTCCCCTTGGTTTTCCTTTGAAGCCATGGTGGCTCTCACCCTCACTTTGTGATGTACCCACTTTCAGTCTGCGTGTGTCATTTCAACCTGGATCCAGCAAGGCTGCGCCGTTCTCTCTGACGGTGTAAATGTAGGTGTCCGCATCTCGCCGCTTGGCCTGGATCTCTTGGCAACTTGGGAGTCCAGCATTGGCATCTCCTCGGTCATGATCAAGCTTTTGGAGACCGAACCGGTGCTGTCAAGGGTCTCTCCTTGCCTCTGTACCCTTGACAAATGTCAGCCTCTAAAAGGAAATCCAAAGGAAGCCCAGCCAATTTGTGACCCAAAAGTGGTTTGGCCCCACCTTTTTCAAGGTTCGGGCACAGCATGCAAATGTTTGCTCTCAAACCGTGCCCCGTCCTGTGTTGAACTCGTTACTGCAGTCCCCACTCAGCAAGAACCACTTCTTCTTGTCCGTGGCATCAACATAGCTCATTTCGCACACCTGGCAGGCACGCTGCTATCTGGCGGATGAGCTGGTTTTGGAAAGTACTGGATAAAATTAAACATAGTATTCCACTTACATCACCCTTTTTGGCGTACCCGAATCTCAAGGTGTTTTATGGGACGCCCCAAACCAGCTTCTCTCCCTTCAGACGATACTGAACAAGATTGCCGCCAAACACCGATGGACACTATTCAAAACCCGATACGCATCAACCTGAAGATGGCACCCCCTAAAGCCAATGCCAAAATACGATTGTCAGATACTATCACCGTTCATAGCCAACTTGGGGTCAACCATGAACCAATGTGGCATTTCTGAAAGCATGCCAATTTGGGTGTCTGCCCTACTCCCTCGGCGGCCCATTCGCGCCTGATCCAAGACACCATCCAAGTTGCAGTCCTTCCATTGGCAACATGGGGGTGCGTCCATATGAGTTGGACCCTCAGATTGCTTGGTTTCCTGGTTTCCACAGCATCCTATTCGCGGAAACTCCTGTCGGGGGAACAACTCTAGACCATCCTGATGACTGTGTCAAAGGCCAGCCATTTTGCAGCTTTTGAACCTGGATGAGAAATAAACAGGCAGCTTGCAATGTACAGTATGTGTGCCATGCTAATAACCCGGATGGAATTCTATGCGACACCTCTCGCTTACGCTGCAAAACGGTTGCACGTGCCACACACACACACACACAAAGAGGCACCTTATCCCGTCGAGCCTGGGCGCGGCTGACGTGGGCACTGCCCAATGTGTTGGCACGCCAAAACACGTGGCTAAGGAATGCAGCAACCTTCAAGCCCCAAATCAGCAAGTGGGTGCTTCTCAACATTTGGGGCCAATTCCTGCGTGCGCCTATAGAAAAAAAGTGGCCCTAATCTCGAGAAACACTGAGGCCAGTGCCGCAATTGCCATACTGTTGAGCAGTGGCTTCGGATTGAACTCCAACATTGATGCTGAGACAGTGTTAGATCGTCCAAGATGATAGTTTCAAATTCAAATCGTTTTGCAGCGTCCTTGTTAAAACAGGTCCTGCCATCAAAATATCAGCCAAGCGAAATGGACGGCATCTTGATTTATCAGGGGTGCCTGATGCTTGCATGACATTGTTAGCTGAACCAAATAACAAGCACGTATACACATGGCCGAGTGTTGCTTTCAAATCACATTGCCTCTTCGAAACATGGTGGAATGTAGGCAGCGACTGTTCCCTGCTACCGTGCGTGCTGGTGCAGTGAGTAGCTTGGCCCTTATGCGCAGTTTTCGCGTAGAAAACTGCAACAAAATCGTCCGCGCTCGAGCGCCTGTATGTTTGGCTTCATAAGGAGAACACCAGTGCAGGATTCTTACATTAAAATGCTCATGATCAAAAAGCCTTCAACAATATTCCTATTCTCACAGGTATCAGTATTGTCACTACTGTTGTCACCATGTTCATTGCATCAGTCATCCCATTGTCAATGCCATGATACACCAGTGTTTGTTATACTTCGCCTTATCCGTACTATCACCTTTGCCTTTCCACCACTGTCACATTAGTTTGTCTCATGGGTGCGTTTCCTTTGGCAGTCGGGAACTCCGGCTGAGGTGCCCATAAGCCCAGTTGCTCCAAGCTCCCTAAGGGCAGAAACCTGTATCCCCACGAAAAGAAACCTAGCAACAGCGTTAAACCAATTTAGGAAGTTGTTGGTACATGAGCGGCTTATGACCCACTTACAAGACCCTTAGCTACTTGACCCTGTTCGTGGTTGTATATTTTCCACCCAAGTATCTGCCGAAATCCAAAACATTGCCCAGTCGAACAATATTGGCTGCGGAACAATATCTGCTGCGGAACAATATCGGCTGCGACACGCGCCGTCCTCGTGGCGGTAGTAGGTGTCCGGGTTGCACCACCCGCTGGGCCGAGCACAGGCGCCAGGCACGGAAAGGTTCGCTCGCCGATCCTGGCAGATGGCTGGTGTGGTCGCGCCTGTGCAAATTCATCCGCCCAAAAGTGGTCACCAAGCACTTAAACAACCATCGTTCTGAAACATGGAAGTGAAACTTCCCCAACACCTAAAAGGGACGTAGTCCAAAACCTGAATTGAAAGGCCCTTAACCAGTAGGTGTCAGCCGGCGCCAAAGGGAAATCATGGTGCTTTCTTCATCTTTCATATAGAACACAGTTGTTGGAACCCATGTTAGGTCACTGGGGATTGCCAAATTTCATCCGTGTTGTCCAAAATACCACTGTCATCTAGCAGATGCATTGTAGGCCTGATTTGAGGAATCCAGCTTGGTCAGTGCCCCCAGACAGGTTGATTGGACCTGCCTTTGAAAGAGGGAGGCCTTTCAAAGCCCAGCCTGTAGCTAGGAAAGCCAAATTGTTGCACGCCGCCACGGCAAGAGCGATTCGACACGCACGGTCCCCGCAAAGGGTTTGCCAGCCAGCGGGAAAAGTCACACGGCGCCACAGCGAGAGCGATCCGGCGCAAACAATTCCCGCACAAAGTTCATTCCGCCGGCTTCCGCCAGACCCACCCTTGCCTAAGAAGGAAGATCGAAATTGAAGGTGCGCAGAGAGGGGCTGTGCAGAGATGGACTGCACGTAGCAAGGCGGCGCAGAGCGAGGCTGGGCAACAAAGCTGGGCTGTGCAGAGCTAGGCTGTGCAAAGCTGGGCCATGCTGAGCTGTGAATGTCAGGCTACGCATCGTCAAAAGGACGGCAAACCAGACGAGTTTCTGACAGTGTCTGATTTAAGAATCTCACATTTTCCAGTCACAAAATACGAAGACACGGGATTGCTTAGGCAAGAACAACATCACGAGCTCATCTTATCCCATCGGTGAACTTGTCGGAAAGCTCATACTTCACAGCCTTAGGAACCCCACCACTCAACTTCCAAGGAACACCCCGGCCCACCAAGCACATACAGCTACAGGAGGTGCGTTCTAGGGGGTGGTGTTTTGGGGGCTGTCAGGAGCAGCTTTATGAATATGTTTCCTGCAAATCAACACATACTCTAAAAAGGGAGTTAGTGTTTGGACGGGTTCCAATTTAAACTGGGTGCCAAGTAAGGGGTCCGAAACAACACAACAACACACGCATCCCTTGGGTTTCCCTTGGGTAAATCACAAACAAAACTATCTGGGCTGTCCTCAGATCCCCTGCTAAAAGTTTAACTTTTAGTGGTTTGGTGGAAACTACCACAACCCCCCCCCCCCAAAACCTAAAACCTAAAAACGAATACACTCCCTCAAACCAACATGGAAGCTCCCAGAAGGCCTCCGTAAATGGAACCAAGCCTTCCAAAACGGTGGCAGCTTCCATGTTAGTCTGGCAGAGAGGGTCGGGACGTTGCTTCGCAGTGCTGTCCTGGATGACAATGGCCGAAGCCGTGGGGAGCCAGACCCACAGAGCCAGGCCCATGGCGCGGATGGCCGGCTGCTTCATTCGTTTGGCGCGCCGCACACCGCGGTCTGAGCCAAAGCGAAGTTCCACGGACGGCGTTCCGGGTTCCATGTTCTGCGGAATATGGGTTCTCGGAATGGGAGAGGGGCCCCGTCCATGGAACCAAAGTGAAAGACGGGATGATCACAGATGGAAAGAAAGGGTGCTTCGCCGGCTTGATGTTGCGGTGTTGCATTGCAAGTACACCAACAGCTGCGACTTACACAAGAATCCTTGTTTCCCACTTGCTCTAATTCGGATGCCAGAAATTGACGCCTTATCAATAATCCTCCAACGATTTATGATGGAGTGCTTGTTGGTGTTGGGGATTCCTTTCTTCTCGTGGGAAGTCTGTACCCAAGAAGTGAGGCAGGGTGTGTCAATCAGGCGCTAACATCACGCAAGCTGTTTGGGAAACCGCCGAGCAGGGGGTCAGCATTGATTGAGTTTTTGAGAGGTGTGCATGCTTTGGAGGGAATCCCTTGTTGGAAACGTCAAGTCCAGCACCCCTGAACGACAGCTATTCATGGACGACTTGGGGTTTGGGACATGGGACAACGCGGTCGTTGGAGGGTAGGAAAACCTCGAGCCTCCTGGTTGTCCTTTTTGCTGTGCCAAAAATGAAAGGGCACGTTGAAAGCGGTCTGAAAAGGGGGTTGACGCCCTTTGAGAAGTTGGGTTATATTATAGTCCCTCTGGAAGACAACACCCAACCCGTGGGTATACCACGCGTCGACTTGCTGAGAGCGCACCGCGCCTGCTTTCTTCGCCGGCGGGGGTGGCGGCTTTGCGTCAGCGGGCACCTCCTATGACCCAAGTTGCGAGGTGGATCATCTTGTGGCGCTAGTTTGCCCTACTTAATCAATACCATTCAATACTTCCGTTGGCCCCTTATGGCACTTAGTTCTTGTCTTAGAATGGAGAGCAAAGGGAGTCAACTTTATCTGTGTTTGCTAACCGATTGGCAATCAGCAGACATGCGTTTCAGGCAGCAGGATGTTACCCTTAGGCCAGGGACATCGCGTGGACCAGCGGAGTCTCCGCAGTCGGGTGGATTGATCTGTTAGTTGTCATTGGAGTCTGACATGACCTTGAACATGATCACAATTCAAGTTCGGGCCGCCTGTCTCCCCTCAATCTTATCTTTGAGGAGAGGTGATGGCGAGGTCTGAGGCTGGAGGAAACAACGCAAGTTGTTCAATCTAATTGCCGGAAACGATGCCTCGTTAAAAAAACAAGAGTGCCAGCAACAAGCTGCTGTACCAGCATTTAATATTCCCAAAGGGCAACATTCAAAACCCTCGAAGGGCAGCAAATTGACACAAGGGGTCTTAGGTGCTTCACTATGATCCCTCATTCACAACATACCGACTGCACCAATACAGGCTTTGTACAGATGTATCCTTTGTATATAAATGGCATGGAACCGCGGTAAGACAGGACCACGGCATGTGCGAGTGGAGGTTCCAACAAAGGGAAGGGTACAATCATGGAATCCAATTACTACTGACATGGTGGAAAAGCAACATGAAAAGAAGCAACCAGTGAGCCAGCCAGCAAGCAAGAAAGCCAAGCCAACGCAAGGCAAGGAAGGAAGCAAGCAAGCCAGGCAAGTCAAGGCACTTCAAGTTCAAGGCAAGGCAACAAGCAAGCAAGCAAGCAAGCAAGCAAGCAAGCAAGCAAGCAAGCAAGCAAGCAAGCAAGCCAGGCAAGGCAAGGCAAGGCAAGGCAAGCAAAGCCAAGCCAGCCAGCAATCACACAAACACACACAAACACACACACACACACAGACAGACACACACGCACACACGCACACACACACACACACACACACACGCACAGAAACACAGAAACACAGAAACACAGAAACACACAGAAACACAGAAACACAGAACACAGGAACACAGGAAACACAGGAACACAGGAACACAGGAACAGAACACAGGAACACAGGAACACAGGAACACAGGAACACAGGAACACGGAACACAGGAACACAGGAACACAGAACACACACACACACACACACCACACCCACACACACACACACACACACACACACACACACACACACACACACACACACACACACACACACACACACACACACACACACACACACACACACACACACACACACACACACACACACACACACACACACACACACATCTGGCTCGTGCATTCAACAACAATGTCCAACTCCCACTTGCCATGCCCACATTGGATTTACCCAGAAGGCCTGACAGTAGGTTAGCCTTTTGGGACTTCGTTGAACATCTGAACATCAACAAACACCGGGAAAACCAATAATGATTTTGGACAAAGAACTTGCTGGAAGGAATCAAACACTTTCGAGGCGAACCGGTGTTTAAATTCTGTGGATGAATGCCTAGTCTTCCATTCCAACTACCTCAGCATTGCCCCCAATCCGCCACACCTTCCGGCTTTTTGGGTCTCACTTCCCGGAGGGGACTGGCGTGGTATATCATGAACCCTGCCTAGGGCCTTCCATTGTAGCATTAATTTTTGCCTCTCCCTGTTCGGCGTATTATGAATTTGGAAGCTCGTGCCTGGTCTCGAGCAGTGGTTTGCAATTTGAGCTTTAATCACCCTTGGCTGCTTCAAGCTCCCTCGCGAATCCCTTCTTTGACATGGCCCTCACCAAAACGAGCACAAGCAAAGTGCAACCGCGACTGCAACTTGGCGCAACGCAGTGCAAACGAGCGCAAATCGGACAAGTAGATTTAAGTTCGAGAGGCCAGGACTGTATGATGCAAAACAGCCCCCAGGATCTAGAGAAGGTTGCATTGGGCTATCGGTACAGTTTGGTTTCTTCACAAATTCAGGAAACACCTCTGACATACCAAGTGCTCCTGGCTGTTGGTTTGCTTCGTTTTGGTTGGGATGGACAAAACCCTATGAATGCCATGAACCCTGTTTTGGAAAGCTTAAGGCAATGACGGCCCGGTCGAAGCCAATGATCGGCTCGAGGCCTTTGCTTTGGGCGGCGGCCCGGGCGGCTTCCTCTGGACCTTGCAGTTCATCGGGACATATCGGGGCACCGTTTGAACCCGTTGAGAAGCCACTTCATAGAATCATATCGCAAACTCAAGTTTTCATGGGCACTCGGAAAATGACCATGTGGTTTTTCACATCTCACCGAATAGGGGTCAGGGGGGGGAGCGTTTGCCTGGAAGAAGAGTGTTGCACAGTCCAAGAGGACCATTCAAGGGTTCAATTTGCTTCATAGGTCCTCAAGGTTACAAATGCACGGGTGAATCAAGAGATTGAACATACCACGCCCCTTTTCGGTCTTACCAGGCACCTTCCCACTCCAAATACCAACTTGTTCAGGGTATATTTGAAACAACAATCAATTTTTCAGGGAAAGTATTCAGTGTTTCAGTCGAGGCTTGACATCATACTCTTACAAGAACGTATTTGGAGTAAGGGCTTGCTGACCCCACACAGCGACTGAGACCTCATGTCCACTTGGTCTACGCGGATTTGGACAGAACCAAAGGCTTTGGGTTTTGCCCCAACAACAGGCTTGGGGCTGGACAAAAACAGGGCCTACTTTGTAAGAGGGGAAACCGTGTACTGAAGTCGCACAAGATCCGAAGCAGCACAGTGCAATGTCCCATCTAACGCTCCTGCAGACTTCAAACAAAAACAGAAACACTTGGAATAGGCTTGCCAAAGCAAGAAGCCTAGGTCCATGTTTGACCCTTTCCACCAAAACGTGCCGCTTTGATGGTTCAACTAAACTGTTTAATTCTATGCAAGAAGCAGTGTACAGCAGCCTCTGCAACGTTCCACTACAAGAAACTCTGAACTCATGCTTTGAATGGTCAAAGGTTTCTCATTTCGGCAAATGTTCCTAGTTGCCCATTGACCCTGGTGGAAAACCTCTGAACAACGGTGGTTTCACTTTGTCGATCCTAGTTGCTTCTATGTTCACCACATTGTAGCTAACCGGCCATTCTAGGTTTTCTAAGGGTTCCTTGGTTGCCAACTATGCAGGCGAAGCGAATGGAACTACGAACCCAATGGACATCAACTGTTCGCCTTTTGGGCTGAGTCAGATTCGGTCGATTCACTTAGGCTCCAAAGGCCCTCTTGACGGGGCTAGCCATAGCTACAAACTGCTGAAAGTGAGGGAAGGGCCTACACAGCTTGCAGAATATTCAACACATCCCTTGTTTGCAGGCCTGGTCCTCCGAACTTCTTTACCAGGTGTCAAATATTTCGCGACCCTTTTGTGACAATCAACCACGTGGTGCTATTTTGTACCCATTTTGCATGTACATGTTGCACATATGTTGCACCTGGATGAGACCTAGGGCCGGAACCTCCCTTCGGGTGCCACGGAGGGCGGCGGCATCTGTACCAATCTGCAACTTACAGTGCCAACACCTGAACTAAGGTAGCCAAGCAATCGGGACCTTCATGCTTTTTCCCGCGCAACCGCCATAGCACCGGCATGGAATCGATTCGATGCGAAACGCCTCAGGAGGTCCTGGAGGTCCAGGAGGTCCTGGAGGTCCTGGAGGTCGTCGTCCCTGACGCTCTGGCAGGAACTGCACGTCCTGCGATTTCTGGTTTGCATTGCGTGCAAATCAACCACGGGTCAAGGGCTTTCTAAGGAGGGTATGGCAAACATGGCAAACACCCATGGTTCCTGGCTTGGACATACACAAGTTGAAGCTGTGGTGGATCTGATCAGCAGCCACTAGAGCGCAGGCATGCGGAAGACTTCAACCTCTGACCAGGATCGATTGGTCTCTTGGGTCTTAAGCGTAAGAATTCCTTCCGTTTCCAAAAATAACGAGGTTACTTGAAGGCCCTTTACCAACACCAGAACCCAGCCAATGGGTGGCTTGCTTTGGTTTTCCTTCACCCTTCAACAATCCTGCTATACAGTGCACAGGGGATAGCAGGATTGTTGGAAAGAGGATACCAAAGAAGGCGTCATGTGGAGGTGTCTAATTCCAAACAGAGGTGTCCCCCCAAAATGTCAAAAGCCAGAGTT